CTCGTGTCTTTTAGAAAATGTCCGTTGTTTAGAAGGGGGCAATTATTGCATTATGATTTCGATCTTAGAAATTTATGTATGAGTATTTTAAATTTGTGTACGAGTATTTTAAATTTGTAATATGATACTTACATGAACAAATTATACAGATAACCAATATTATAGATAGATAAATACAATGTAAAAATTATTGATAGGTTATAATAAAAGTAACAACATTTAAAATGGTTGCACAATTATAGGACCAGTACTTGAACAGAATGCTCATCGTTTGCTGAGTTTATATGTATATACCAGTTGGTGACAGATTAATGTGACACATCGGCAGTGACCCAACATTCGGGTTGTTTTGAATGGCCTTGGCACGTATTTCTACAGCTGCTGCGGGTAGAAATAAACATTGAAGGAACAAAGGTAAAATTGTCATCCATACATCCTAAATTAAATGACAATGAGTTATAAACTCTCTTTTATAATTGGTAATGGAAATGTCTTTCAGTACTGTTCTTGAATACATTTGTAAAAACTAAGTTCTGTAATCAATAGTGTCTTTGAAATAAAAAAATTGTTGAATTCAAAATATTCAGTTATGAGTGAGATCATCAATCATCATAGAAGCTGTATGAAAAAATCGTTTTTGATGTAAAAGAATGTTTTTAATTTAAAAAAATGCAATACTTGATTTTCAGAAATACGATGCAAAAATTAATGATCCCTATTAGAATTCAAGGGACATGACGCTTTCAGAATTTAATTGAAAAAGTTGGTACCTATTTAAAATTTATGATTTTACAAATTACTTAAGGCTTGTAGTCAAAATGCAGCGAAGTCTGAGAGGGAGGTTTTCGCGACCACCGTGTAAAATCCTTGATCTGCCCAAAGCTCAGCCAGTCGCTACCCTCGTGCTTGTACTCTTTGTAATATGATATCCTAGCCAGACCCTTCTTTGTGGTAACTGGTCGCTTTCAGGTGGCCGAGGAATTGCCAACGGTGGGCTATAACTAATTGGATAGGACGACCACTGGCCACGTATTATTCTTCGCCCCTCATTGACTTCGCCTTTACCATGCCACCCGTTGTGAACTGACAGTTGAGTAATTTGCGACGTCTCTTTCCCCTAAAACATTGCACAACGTCTCCATTTGAGCAGCTAGTATGCGGGATTTTCCCTCCGCGTATCAGCAGACTCAATCATAAATATTTTTTGGTAGAAAATATCTATAACAAGGAAGCTGATCAAGGAATGCCGAATATACCATTCAATTGACAATAAAAATTACAACCCGTTTATATCTCGAAAAAAGTGTAAAAGTCGCAGACATGATAAACAATAATATTCAAAGTTTCTTGAAATTTCCTCTCATTAAAACTCTTTTCATACAAAGTTTACATATTTTTTATTACTGGCCGACGCTTATAAATAAATAGCTGGGTAGGTATGGAAAAATCTATATCACCATCTCATTTGCGAGTGGAGTAAAGTCTATCCTAATTAGTGAAGAAACGCTTAGAGAAGAGCCGAGCCTGTTCGAAGCCTCTCAGTTATCAATCAGGGCCTTAATTGAACGCAGTGCAGACATTCAAAATCACATAGAAGTATGAATTTAAGTCCCATGATTGGAGAAGATTTCAAAATTTGTTGTACTATCAGTTAGGTATGTGTACCAAGTTTCTGAGTGATCCGTCTGTAAATAGCCGAGATAAATTTTACCCTAGACGCTCCCCTTAAGAGAATGTGCCTAAACAAAATACAATATTATTATCTTCTTAGTGTATAACATACTAAACAATAGAGTAGTTCCTTTGCTTACCGCTGCTGGCACTACAATCTGTGCATGGGCCATTCTAGACTTGAAATATGCTTGATTTTCTTGTTAAATTTTGTAAAATTGAATTATTTATACTTATTATTATTGAATATCCACAACTGAAATCCATTTTCTATTACTAATTTCATTCTATTTTTAATAGAATGAATATTACTTTTCACATTATTTTATTCTTTTATCTCCTGGCTGTAGTTCATAGAAAACTTTTTGCCAAAAACTTAGTTAATACAGAATAGGTAATTGAGAATTCACCTGACAACTTTCATGTTTTACTTGAAAAATTATCATTTCAAGTGATGAATTTCACTTGTAACAAAGCATGGAAATATGAGGATACCATTTTTTTGATAAATTTAAGCCTGAACATGTACCTAATGCATGAAATTAGCAGTTAATAATTCAAGTACTTTTGTCCACAATTTGCTCACTGAAAATGGATCAGCTTGATAAAAATAGGTGGGGCAGCTTTGGCAGCAAGCTGTGCCATCAGCTGCGGCAGCTTGCTTGGTTAAGAATTATTAATTTAAAAGCAAAAGGCTTGGACAAAGTGCCATTTCATGTCCTTAGAAGCCTAAAAAATTTACGTATCTGCGTGATTTCAATGCTTTTAACATTGAGAAACTTCAAAGTATCTCCGTTATCATATATATTTGTTGAATAATTCTACCTAATTTGGCTATAATCGTCACTCAAAACCAATTTCAGAATTAATTGGTCCACTCAGCTCAATCAATTGTATGGTTTACATAGGTCACATGAGAACAATTGCTAATGTAAAGTACCGTAAAATGGGGTTACTTTGACCGGCGGGGTAACTTTGACCACTTTTTGTTTTTTTAACAAAAACCCCCAAAACTCAAAAACGATTTGACATAGAATAATTTTGTCCATGGCCATCAAAGGCCTAATACTGAGGCTACGTAACACTATAGAAAAATTTAAAAAGTTTGCATATCTAATAGGTTAAAAAATTATAAATGTGACCCACGAAAAAGAGCTATTATTTAAAGCCTGTCAGAGTACCCCCTACAATTTTTTTATTTTTTGGTAAAATAACTCCAGGTTTTGATGCATTGTAGTAAAACTCTTCTAGCTACATATGCAAAAGACAAATTTTAGAAAAGTGTCATAGTTTGCAAATGGGGGGAGCCGCCCCCCAATGGGGTAACTTTGACCACCTAATGGCAGCCGTGATGGGGTAACATTGACCGGCTTGGAAATTAAGTTAAAATTACCATAGGTACCTATATAACATATTTTATGTTTGATACACCTATTAATGTTTCTTTCTTTATGTTTCAGACTCTACAGAGTCTTATATATGAAAAATTGATTTTACCACCCGGTCAAAGAAACCCCAAGAGCTGGGGTAACAAAGACCATCACTTTTTTTGAAATTACATCAAAACTATGAGAGGCAGGAGCCAGCAATTTATGGTGAGTTAGATGTCTATACACTAGCCCTAGCCTAGAGTATAGACCTGTATTTTGCATGTTTCAATTTAAGTTTAACTTTTCTAGTAAAAAAATGGCATTGTTTTGAAAAAAAGTGGTCAAAGTTACCCCATTTTACGGTACTAGATATGTGCTTATGTTACTACTTTATCATAAAAGTTGTATCCCCATATACGGCATTAATGTTTTGTTTAAATGAATTTCATCACCTGAATTGAGAATTTTCAGATAGAACGTAAAACTTGTGTCATTCAAATTCTTCCACCACTAGTCATGTAATTAATCTATCAGTGAAATCTATGCCTGAATTGGAGTCATATTGGTTGCCTGTGCAATCTACAAAAGCAAGTCATTGTCATTTTGTCTGTCATTGTTGGCATTTTGCAACCTCCAGAAGTGGGTAAAATATTTTACTATTTAATTATTTGTTTTTTAATTCATTCCGAATTGCAATTTCATGTGCATTGTATTGTATATGTATAGGTACTTTGTATTGTATTGCTCCACAGACCAAGAAAATGGCAACTTGCTCCAACTTTCTACTTTGAAAATCTAAACTAAAACATACAAAATTAAACAATACAAAATATGAACAAGATATTTAACTACCGTAACTGAGACATTGACTTAGACTGGCTTGCCAAACCAGGATCAAAAGAACAAAAATATTGCAAATTGACTAAAATGACATGAAAATTAGATTTATCCAAGAGAAATTTTAAAAATTAACTTGGGAAATTGTTGTCCAACCAGCACATCAGGCCAGGGGTGCTGAACAGTATATTTTTTATTCCACTCATTGTTTGAGAGATGTCTAAAATGTCATGAACACATTAAACATTTTAAACACGTTTTTTTTTAATTTAAATAATAGGCGATGATGGTTACTGTGCATCAATTGAATTGCTGAATTGAAAATTACTACTCTTAGGCAATATATTTTCAAGACATTTAGAATCTTTTACAGCACTCTTATTAATGATTAGATAGTGGAGGATTCAGCTAGCAATATTTCTCACCTCCTAAAATTGCAGTAAATGCTGGCCCTGGACCAGTCCTGCAATTTTGAACCATCATGTTTGGATCTTGAAAACGTTTTATTTTTGAATGGAGTAATCAATAGAGAATCGTGTGCAACCACTATCGTTAAACTACTACATTGTGAGAAACTACTACATTGTGTGAAACCGCTACATTGTGTCAAACTACTACTACATTGTGTGAAACCATGAAAAGGTTCGAGTAAAATATAGGAATTTTCTAATCTTGGGTCAGGCCATATGAGTGCAAATCAGATGATCCTTTAATGAGATGCCCAATACGTGAATGCAGCTCATTCAACTTGACAGGTCTTACATTATTGTGTTATCTTAAAATAAAGTAAACCTGGGAGACTCCAGGTCACCTAAATATACTAACTATGTAATTTGTATTTCTTATCCACCGTGTCGGGCTCATGATCCCTTGGATTTTTTTCCTTTTTTTTTCTTTCTGTCCAAGCACACACATCATACCTGCCAGCCTCCAAACATCAACATTTGATAGGTAGTTATACGTTGACTCAAAAAGTACCTATACTTCTATCAAATTATAAATTAATTATCTTGCAGTATTTAAACCAAATTCATGTATGTATAATTGAAGTGTTGTGTGTATGTATAATTATCATGTATGTATAATTATAATTAAATCTAATTTCTGATCTCATCCTATCCCCAAGTATTGCTGTGCCTTACTATTCTCCTCCATGAATAAAGAAATGTTCACGTGCTGGACGCAATAAGTATCCTGCATACATGCCAAAACGGTCACTATATATTTACAATGCCGGCGCTAAAACTATTATTAGAAAATCTTATTTTCCAGGGATCTTAAAATGAATTTTCTCTAATACTCTTTGATCTAAAAGTGTAATTACTGGAACCTGCGTGATTTTTATTTAATGATTGAGCTTGCTCAACGCTGAAACAATGAGCTGGAGGCATAGAGGCCGAGAAACTTGGGACCGTGGTGGTCCCCATACATCATACCAGAGTTCCTACTATGGACCAAGATTTTCTGATCCTCCTAATAGCTACGGTGATTTTCATGAAGATCCTGCTTACATGCTGGCTGCACGGGAAAGACCATTTGACCACCATGGCCCTGACTTTGCTTACCATATGAGTGAAGGGCATGGCAGATCATTTAGAGAAAGAGAGATTGGGAGGTTGCCAGAAAGGAGGAATGACATTTCCAGAGAAAATAGTGAAAGTTTTTGCAGAAAGATCATTCCTAGAAAAGAAATCCAAAGTTTGCCTTCGTTGTATTTGTTTTCATGGGATATTTTCCATGAAGCATCATATGTGGATGCAATATCTCCTTCGGTTGTGGAGCCTTCAGATGCTGATGGTGCCGAGAATGAACCTACAGTGAGTGATAAGGTCAAGACCAGCGTCAGCAAAATCTTTGAAAAGTCGCCACAAGTTAAAAGTGATGAGCTCAATAATTTCCTCAAATATTTCAGAAAAATTAATGATAGCAGAGACAAACGGAAATTAATGCATCCTTCAGAAATTGGGTGCCATATTGACTACCATAACAACCAAGAACTTATCAATGACAGCTGTGCAAAAAAAGCTCCTTTATATTCTCGTGTGAGCTCCTCACACGTCCAGGAACTTTTGGCGAATTCTGCAATTGCCTTGGAAGAAGCACGCGATGCAAAGTTCTCTTTTGATGTCCAGGAGAAGATGAAACAGCACAGGCTCTTGATATTAGCTCTGATTGGGCAGACTTACGTGTCAAGTTCTGTTTATCGGGTCAGTATTTTGTCTCTGTTCTTTAGATTCTCAAGTTAACATTGGCTTCTATAGTACTGTTGACATTATTAACTTACGGATCAAAATTTCAATTGATTCTTAAAAAACGTGAACAGCTTATTCATTTTTATTAGGTATTTATGATATTTCGGCATGCATGCCTTTCCGTGCATCATTCTGCTATTCATGAAGGTATTTTTAGGTTCATATTTTCTTTTCTTTTCACGTTTTTGTACAATGTCACCTGTGGAACAAGTTTCCATTTCACTTCCCAATTGCCGTAAAATGTCAGTAATATAGGTAATATTAATTACCAGATGTCTGTCATCTATTAACATTACTGGAGTTTCAATTTCAGGTTAATGGATCCGCCCTACCCCAACAATGGGCCTATAAAAGGATACATCTAGTAGGCGACTCTCGCGTGCACAACCTGTACAACTCGGAGGCATGGGAAGGCGTCCCAATAAACCGACCCTTCCTCTACTGCAAGGACGATTTGTCACTCTTCACTCTCACAAGTACCATCCAAGAACTGATACCCAAAGTGTCAGTCAAGGGCAAGTCCCTGGTGGTGTGCTCCGTCGGATTACGGGACATCGTGCGCACAATTGACGAGCTAGGAGTCCTCATAACGCTTGAGAACACCATCGCCGACATGAAGAAAATACGCCAAGAGTTTAAAACTTACTACGGGGATGAACACGACCTTCTCTTTGCCGATTTTCTACCTGCTGATGTTTGCACTCTTCTTGAACTGCACAAGGATACACTGTCTATTGAGGAGTCGGAGGAGCTCGTTGAGCTGTGCAACGAAACAACGGTGAAACTTTTAAAGTTTACTTACTTGCTCACGCAGAATATGATCTCCGAAGATCTCTCCCGTTTGAAGCACTTGCCCTCTTGGGAAATATTCTGTAACCCTGTTGAAGCAAAATTAGAAGACACATGTATCAAACTGCCTACTTTGTCTGAAGGATTTAACCCAGACCTTGAGAAGTTCAATGGCATTAGTTCCCGCATTAGTGACATTTATCAATCTTATTGTAGATTGCAGCAACCCCCTGACTTCAACTCGACCAAGCGTTCCATTTTCTTTGTGTGTAATCAGAAGTATCAGGCGATGGACGAATTCTGGCCAAAGAAAATAACTCGCGAGAAACCAAAATTCATCTTTCTGGAGCGGGTCACGTCAGTCACAATCGTTACTTCTCTACGTCGGCACTTCCCGCTGCCAGAATACAGCATCCTCGTGGTCTGGTTTGATGTGTCCGAGTTTCTGCACAGCTACTCCTTGAGCGACTGCTCGTGCGGCTCTGCACTGAAGATTAGCCTGCCTCGTTTCCTTCCACCCAGTCACATCTACGATGAACTTGTACGTGTGCGCAAGGCCTTGGAGCAAAGTTGTGGGTCTCCCAATGTCGTATTGACAACTTTGTGTCCCATAGATTTTCCCGAACTTTTCAAAACTCAATTATCCGCTCATAAACCTTCGTGCCAACTCATAGACGTCCCTTCAAATAACGAACTTGAGAAAATCAAGCAGTACCATCTTGCAGTTGTGGACAAAGTCAACTTGTACATCGTGCAATCCAACAGAATGAAGGGCTTACCTGCATGGGATTTGTGTAGTTTTCTGTACAAACGTGAGCGGGATGGCTGCCTAACCTTTATTCCTCTTGTGTCACCTTCTGATTTTGGGCCAGCCAAGCCTCAAACTGCTGCCAAAATCATGATGTGCCTGTCTCAATGTGGCCAGAAAACCATCCAAGATCTAAATTGGCTGGAGTATTGTAATGACGCCATGAATGTTGGAAAGACAGGAAAGAGAGCTCGGAGCCACACTAGACGCCATTCATGGTCAAGATCACCTCCTCCTCGTGATCGATCTGAATACTATTCTGCCCCTCGTCGTTCAAGGTCTCCAGGACGTGCTCCCCTCCTACCACCTCCTGGCACTCCGTTCTTCGATCCCCTACCGGATCACCGTCCTACGTACCCTGATAATTCAGCCAGGTTGACAGTTCCCTTTCATTCATACCCCTCACCGTACACCAGAGAACCTAGTTATTATCCCGAAGATCCTGTGCATCCAAGGTCTGTGTATCATCGATTAGATGCTGATGGACGATATCCCGACAATAGCATTCCGACTAGTACCAGACATTCCGAGTTCGAGTATCATGAACGTCGAGGTTATCGTCCCTCGCCTCCCCGTTATCCAGCCCCTAACACAGACTTTGCTATGCCCGCTCCCTCGCCGCCTCCTGCTCCACCTCCTCTCTCATTAATGTCTCGTTATTATAAGAATGCCCCGTCGTATGACGGTAGCGACGACATTTTTTCCTCTACTGCTGTTCCTGCCGCAGCGAACTTGCCTGAAATCCCTCACATTGATGCCCCTGACGTGTTAGACCCCGAGCGAAAACGCGTGTGCTTTGGACTGAAAGCAAAAGAAGAATCACGAGAGTAAGTTTTATCATTTAGCGTAACGAATTTTGGCGTTTTTCTTGATTTGTAAAAATTGAATCATATATTGGTTTATCATCCTGAATACCGTATACGTAGTTCCTGAGTGGCACTGTTTGGTGGTTCAATCATGTTGTCTGAATGTCACGAGGAAATTCGTTTCAGTTATGGGTAAAAATATTCACGAACCGTTGATTGCACAATATTTTCCATGCCGCTGTTATACAAGTGTATCGTGCATTCACTGAAATTATGTACCTATCTTACGGACTTGCGCTATCAATTATTTCTTGCTATATAGTATTTATTTGAATGTAAAATAAATTCATCCCATGGAATAGAATGATAGCATCATCCCAACTATATTCCAAAATGAATAATACGTTTTCGCGGTTACTTGAAATCATTAGAGTTCATGAAAATGAAATTCGTCTCTTGACATTGTGTACTTGGCTTGCGATATCCATTTTCTATACCATAGTGACAATAGTATGTTTTTCAGGATTGATTGTATATAATACTGGAGACTATAATTTTGTATAATGCTGGATATAAAACGTCCATTGTGTATAAAACTGAAACTTAAAACCTGCTTTATATTAGCTTCCCAAAGTTAACGCAACTACAGGCGATATTCAAAGTTTTTTTTCTGCCGAGATGCGTGATTCAGCATGAGCCTCGCTTTCCGCTGATATCAAGATGCCGTCTCAGTGTTTGTTCTGAGTTGTTTTGAATGTTTATTATAAATTAATGTTTATTTACTCACGTTTATTTTTCCAGAAGTGGGGAGCAAACTCAGCCTGCTGCTGCTACTTCTGCCACGTCATCTGGTGGTAGCTTACCGGACGAAAGCGCCCTGAAGAGCCTCATCGCATCCCTGCGAGCCGCTCACGAAGTCGAGGTGGAGAAGCTACGCGTTAACCCTAAAGCGCACAGCAAGTACGAGCAGCAGCGCCAGGAGTTTATGCGTCAGGCCCTACAGTCGCCCACCGAGGACAACAAACCAATGGACGCTGCGTCCGTCGAGCGCGTGTGGCTCGTCTTTTGGAAAATGCAGCTCGAGAAAAGCTTCGCCAAGACATGGGAAAAGCGAGTAACACATCTGACCACCATGCTCGGGGGTGGCAAACCTCTTCCTGCTAAGTCGATGGAAGTCATCCAGAAGCTCACCAAAATCGATTTTCCTCCCGAATCGATGAGTTACAACGAACAACAGTTTACTGCATCTGAATCTAATTTGCTTAACAAGTTTAGAAAGCAGAAGCTTTCAGCTGGCTCTTTTGCTCCATTACCAGAAATAAAGAAAGCCCCTGGGGTGTTGTTAGGGGAGAAAATGCTGACTCAGGTCCAGAGAGGCTGGAGGAACATCGGCTGTAAGAGCAGCCAGAGCATGGTTGACAACGCCCTCACCAAGCTCGACGATTTCATTGGTAAAACGGGCATCTCTCGCGAAGATCGCGAACAATACATCGACTTGCGCAATAAACTTCGGTCCTTTAAGGCATTTCTGAGAACTAAAGAAGCGAACCCCTTTGATTTAGACTTGAAGTCTCTAAGTGAAATCGCAGCCAACTTCAACCGAGCCGAGATGCGGGAGTACGTGGAGGGAGTTCTGCAGACGAAAGGGGTACAAAATCCTGCTCATGAAGATGTGATCGTCACGTGCGAGGCTCTCATTGCACTTCAACATCGCCCCAGGACAGCCTTTGTACGAGGACCAATTCTTAATCCCTAGAAGAGCTGCTATTTTTTCTTTCAGTTCAGTATTTTTTTTTTTTTTTGTAAATGCGATTTTCACTTCGAGTGTGTGAGTAAAGAAGTATTGAAAAATTTCACCCTAGAATGCTTGTTTTCGGCCTAGGCTTGTTTCAAAAACTTCCTCGATTTTCCTGCTTTCAATTCAACTACTACTGTGTTATGTATTTCAAGGCCTCAATAGTTTATTCTGTTTTTGACTAATTATCTTATTTGCAGAGATAATGTTCTTCACTGAATCATACCGGTATTGCTGTACAGGTATTATATTCTTTCGAGCGAACATTTGATTTTTCTCTTTGGCATTGAACTATGTGGCAAAACACAATGCATTGAACCTGTACACTAACGAGTTAGACTAAATTTTGTAATTCGTTCGACTTGAACCAAGAGACGCACGTCACGCTTCAAATCACTTAACAGTGCATTGTCTTTTTTCGTTCGATATTAAATTCTATCTCTTCTAAAACTTATTCATTGGACAGCTGGCGTATCGCTATTTTATTTTCCTCATACTATTCATTTGCTTGCATCATAGGTTTGGGTGGACTAGTCCGTTTGCTTTTGGCACGAGACGTACTGTTTTAGTAGGAAATTTTGGACTAAACTGTACCTGCTAAACTTGCCGTTACTTGTTGCCTTTTGATCCCTGTATACAATTTTTTGAACGTGACTAATGATATAATTATTATCATTCTTAGTTTTTCATCTCAACTCCTTTCAACTGAAAAAATTTCAGTTGAAAATTTTTTTTAGGAGAAAATTTCAACTCCTTTCAATGCAATTTTCTCCTTTCTTGGAATTCTGTTTCCCAGTGTAATTTATCAATGCATGTAAATACTGATACTATAAAAGTTTCTCCTGTTGATGTAAATTCTTTGTTCTCTTGCTGAAAGCTCAGGTTAAAAAGACGATATTTAGTTCAAGAATCCGAGTAATAACTATGAATTTTTGCGCTGGTGCTTCCAAAATATTAACATTCGTCTAAAAGCTGCCTCGCCCAACAATAAGATTTGAATTTCGGTAAATAAAAGCAAATATTTATGATAAACAGGATCTTAAAAGTGTGTTTATTGTGGCCGATATTGTCATTGTTACTTTTATCTTTTATGAATTGTATGTAAATGTAATCGGGCTTTGTGATATCGTCTACTCAGGCTCTTTACTGTGTCGGCATATTGATCGCCATTACAGTTCGAATATTGTGTAGCTAATAACTCGCAATGACGAATACATAAACGTTTAATATCCCACAGTTCAACCTTGGTGCACTTTCTTCAAATTTGATTCTTAAAACTATCTTGTTGGTTATACCTAGACAGCGGTTTGATAGGGCAAGAATTATAAGCTCGATTTTCAACCAATTATAAATTTGTTACAGATTTTTCAACCAGTTTGTGGGCTCTTGATTCATTTGTGTATTTAAGGATTGTTCGTCGCTCTATTGTAATTTTTTTTTGTGCCAGTTCTTTTAGCTTGGGAAGGTACCAATACAGCTTCATCAAATAACAATGAAATCTGTGTGTATGAATAGTATAAAAAGACATTATAATTACTTGTGTATCATCTACAAATTTTCCTATTTCGCGCATGGAAAATCTTAAAACTGTTATGCATAAGCATCTCTTGTTTAGTGGCAAATTGTGACTGCCTACAAACTGCTGCTTTGATCTCGATGTAATTATTATCGCGCATACGAATCCTCAAGTTATGTTGCGAGAGTTCCACTGTATAGCATACATAGTATTTGTTATACCTTGCTAAATAACTGAACATACATGAGCGTGTTATTTGACAAATTTTATTTTCCCAAGACATTGTATGGAATTTCAGTTAGAAACTTCATTTTTTTATATTGAACATTATATTTTATTCTGGACGTACCAGGCAAGTTCAGTGTCAAGTCATCGTGCGTTGTGTCCGAGGAATTTAATAGTTTAAGTATTTTGGTAATTTACTTAACTCTTGACACATGCGACCATAACTTTGAGAGAACGACTTGACGCATGAGGAGGCGTTCACTTGACACATGTGATCTTGTATGGCTGAACATATTTTATGGCTTGCCAGATGCCTCATTGGCAGAGGCAATACACAAACGCTTAGAGTGATAGTTTGGGCTTTCGCTTTGCGTATATGCGAACCTAGCTTACAAAAATCGACGGAGTAGCTCCAATTGCAAGTTCCGAAACAAATATATATCTGGTTCACTGTTCTGAGACGTTATTCTGTGAGTTTAGGTTTCTTTCGAGTGGCTACAAATGTATAAAGATTTTTGTTTATGCCAAAAAATAGATGACATATGGCATGCGGCACGCCTTCGTTTCTATTCTTTTTAAAGCAATGAAATCATCATTCTGACGACGCCATCAAGATAAAGATCGGATCTTAGTTGAAGGACCAAATAGTATTGCGCATTATTTGCCCTACTCTAGCTGTCGCGAATATGTTGTGGGTCCTGACAGTTTATGAGATCTACGGAATGCATTATTGCATATGTAGCCCCAGCGCTGCTCTTTCGAAGTTTCGGACGGCGAATTCCGAACTGAATCCAACAACTCAATTGTCGGATGGGTTGTGCGAATTCCATCATCACGCATGCGCTGTAAAAGGAGTATTCAATGTACAAAGTTAAGCAAAGTGGTTATGAAGACATTGATGAAGTCTGTCGCACATGCTATTTAACCAATATTCTCGTGGATACATTTACCTTTTTCAATGCTATTAGTAGCTGAAGGCCTGGTAATTAATTTCCGTCAGCAGATTAGTGGTTCAACATTGGCTTTAACGACAATAGCGGACACTAAATATATTATACATGAATGATTTTTGTAGCCGGAGGGCGAGCAGTAGCCCAGCGTTTCGCTTCGAATGAACAATAATAACATTAACTTAGATTATAGGTGTACAGATCGCTTTTACCAAATTTTGTTAATAATTTCAAAATCTAATGAATTTTTTTTTCGACTTATCCTTTCTTTGATCTTTCAACTTCTTCGATTACGATCTTAAACATGGTTTACTGACCTTCAATTAACCGCTCTACTCTCAATCGCCGTTTTTTTCTCAACACATTATCGGAATGCACGCGAGTTTAAATTGGACTTCAATTCGCTCCCACTGTCTCTCTTAGCGTGTAATCATACCGCATAATTGTAGTGAACTTTGTAGTTACCACTTACTAGTAAATTAAGCCTCACTGAACTTCTTGTAGAGTAGGATCTTTCTTCGAAGTTCCTTAATCGTATGCAACTTGCCAGCATTATTCGGAGCAAGCATGACGGATTAGCGGAGAAAATGCTTTAGAAACTATCGCACGAAACGGGATAGGGTTTCATTTCGGAAGCGAAGTTCAATCCCGCGCAGGATCTACTTTTGCAGGAGTCACTTATTATGTTAGTGCTTTCTTTTTGAGCATTACGCACGCTGAAAACTATAAGACTATGACTATCTGGAATCGTCTGTACTTTTGAAATTGGGTGCCAAGTAGTGTTATTCTACAAAAACTCACCTAGAAACTCAAAGGAATTGATGTTTAATCGGGGGAAAATTTACGTTAAACTTAATTTAATTAAACACATAATCGCAAGAGTACTGATGTTTGACAAACCAATCCAAAACGGCCTGGAGGAAAAGGAACCTATCAATATGATATAAATTTACATTCCACATCTTTGACGGACCTCGAAATCGGAAGGAAATCGCTGGGACCTACTCTTTTGGCGACAACTTCTGCCGATTCCTTTATCCCGGATTTCTGGCTCTACGGTTCACCTAGTGGCGAGGAATCTATTCTTCAGTGACCGCCTGTTCAGAGTTCAGTCATAGCCAGTCTGCATTGCGCTGTCTTGGTGTATGGTTCTTTCTTGTTGTTCCTGCGCACCTCGCTCTGTATGGTGATATCGTGATTCATCTCAAGTGACAATGAATTAATCTGATATCAGCCCAAATCGTTTCTGAATGAAAAAATCTCCTAGCTTCGAGTTGCTTCAAGCAGACCAACTCATTTGGTGAGTAAACTTAGCAAAAATCGTAGGATTCTCACGAGATGTCACTAATTTATTAACTATCTTTCAACAGGGTCTCCACGATTGTTGCCTGCCCGTGTAAAATTTGAATTGACCCATAAATTTTTTTTTAATTACTAATGAGTTTTCAAATATAGGTTACCAAATTGTATAAAAAATCTAAGTCATAAATCGTGGAAACGGCTGGTTAATAGTATTTTTAGAGATGAGTTTTTTATTTGGAAGCAGTACAGTTGAATATTCTCAGTGTCAACTTCAACTTCATAAATTTCTGGCAAAATTTAAATCTAACTTGAACAAATTTCAGGTTTATTGCTTTGGTGTATGTTGTGGCTTCCGAGAGACTAACTTCACCATGGATGCTGATTGAAATGCTGAAGCATTATGCGCCTAGTGACGGGATTTTTTCATGGACTTATCGTGAACGGGTCGTGCAATCGATTAATTGACGAGTTAAAATACAAGGTAGAATCCAATTGACACTGCGCCTTCTCGAGGACAAAGTACGTAGGGAACCAAGCAATCTGATGTACATCAAAACTACGATCGAGTAAAAAATATGAGAAAATTTGTGATACTGGGACGAAAGCTTTAAATTTACTGAGCGCTTGTCAGCTGGTTTGGACGAAGCGGAGTTGAGAATTTTCGTACCATGGAAAGTCTAGTTGATTCTTTCGAAATACGAACTTTTACGATGAATGCTTGGCACACGACGAATATCTGGGGCTCTGTTTTATCATCTTGAGGTTGAATGAACGAGTTTGTTGTGTATTATTCTTCGGAAATGACTAGTTTTTAAGCTAATTTTTATACCTACTGTGTTTTAAGTCGCTGAAATGAAAAATATGTAAACATATATCAATTAAATTACTGTGATTTCGCGCTGAGTGGTTCACATGTTGAGATTAATTCATCCTTGATAACTGAATTGAACTTGACATCTGATTTAAACTCTAAAGTATCTTCTTGCACATCTGCAAGACTATGAGACGTCAATGAAGGACTCTTAAATACTAATTTCTATCTCCTCGCGGGAATAACAATATTTATGGGTTAAATGACAAGTAAAGTGTCTTGCCTTTAATTAAATTCTACGATATTAGGCAATATACAACTTTAGACAAGCCGTGTGTACGTTTACTTCTCGCGACGTCGCTGGCGTAGTTACGCAAGCAGTTGAAGTCGGAGCCTGGGGCTGTCCACGCCTGCTAAATTAACCTGTCTCCAGATCCTGTCACGCGACCAGCCATGCACGCTGAAAATAGACTAATTTTATGTCCTATTCTACCAGCTGATAATGCTGAAATTTATTGTATGAGTTGCGCTTCGTAATTCTAGAGCTGTGAAAAACTGAAGCTTTAGTAGACGTTCCAATAGTTCATTTTTCCTCCCGATCGAAAGTGTTATTCGGATTAGCTGTTCTGTGTGGTTTTATTCAGAACTTGTGATTTTGAATCCGCATATTATTTTATTCAGTTTCTCACAGTTTGTAGTCTTTTTTAAGATGGACTGATGAAGCATAAAGCACTGCAAAACTGATAGATTCCAGCAGTAAAAAGCGCCTCGTGTGAAAGACTGCGATGTAAATACTGCCGCGGCATTTTTGATGCGCGCAGTATCTACTGCCCTGTGTGAAAGGGGCTGCAGGCAAGCGTTCAAGCACTAGGAAATTGATTTGATGTAAGACATAATACTTTACTTTAATACTTTTCTTGAAGTGTCCATGACTTTCAGACCTCTTCTTTTCTGTTAATTTGCTTTTTAGAACAATTTAGTTTTTATCAAATTGAACTAATTGCGGGGCCATGATAGACGCTTCTTACTTTTTTTCCGCCGGTACGTTTTGCGAACAACACTGAAAATTATGCAGGTTTGTACCTAACCTTATAATTTAGTGAAACTGAATTTGACCGATTACAAAATCATAGTTGAGAAAGCGTGTCAGCGAATCGTGCAAATTTGATTCCTGCTAACAACGATCAGCTTCAGGTGCAAATGTGACCTTGAACAAGAATTCTAGAGAAGAACTGTGCATTAGTTTCAGCGTTGAGCTCAATATCCCTATTTTTTCTTATTTCTACGACGCAACCTAAATGCAAACATGACCTCAAATCACAGTTCCCGAATAGCCACCAGACACACGTATTCTGAGTAAAGAAGTGATTGTTGTACGTGCGAGCTCATGACATCGCTTATTATGTCACTCGCCATAAAGCTCCATGCAAGACTCTTGCGTGCCGCCGATTAAGAAAGTTTCCCTCCATTTAGCGGCGTCGCGCATGCTGCTGTAGACGTGAACCGATCACGTACACAGGAAGGTGCCGTGACCGCGAGCTGCGCTTCTTGATTTGCTGCTGACATGACATGTTGTGGCCCCGGATTTTGTGTCTGTGCTGTTGTTCTCTCTAACACGGCTTTTTTCGCTACGGCTTTTGGTGAACAACTTGTTGGTGCCGGTCCTACAAATGTAGGCTTTCTCTTCACTTCCGATGTGCTGACGTATATAAACATTGCAATTGATGTTGCTCAATCTTTAGTAGTAAATGATGTGTAGATGTTTTAGGACTTTTTGGTGCTGTTGCTAGAGTACCGGTATCGTTTTGCGTTCGATGATCTGTGCCGTTGATCCTACTTGTGTAGAAGTATTCCATAGCAACCTTTATCAAAATAATTTTCTAAGCATCAGCTATGAAGCGAGGACATTTCATGTCGGTTGCCTATCTTTGAACGTCCACTTTTCATCACTTCATCATTATTCATGAAA